CTTGGGAAGAACTCCAGCATGGACATGCTTGAACCCTCCAGAAGTTTATGATTCCTACTGTGAGGCTGCCGCCGTTTCTGTGTGGGAACTGGTCGATGTCCATGTGACGGATCCTACCGACCAGAAGACCAGGAGAGAAGCCCAAGGCTCAGCTTTAAGCCCAAGTGGGACGACCCAAGGCCGTGAATCCTCAAGCACCACAACCTAAGCTTGTGTCTGGGGTGCAGGCTGTGTTTGTATAAAGTCTTCAAGTGGAGGTACTTGCGAGGCTCCCAAACTTCACGCTCAAACATCCTAGCCCCTCGTGCAGGCCACCAGCACACCCAGTCCCTAACCCCCCACCCAACCAGCAGCACTCAGACCCGAAATCCAAGCCCCACGCCACACAAACTCTAAAGCCACACCTCGTGATCCTAAACCGACCCTGGATCCGGGGTCCTACGGTACTCGTTGTGCTGCTGGCGGTTGCAGTTGATATGGATGTGGATGTGCTGCTGGTCGAGGCCTCAAGGGGGCGTGCGCGACCAAAACCCCTGCACAGAGAGGAAAAGTGCTGAGTGGATGTGCTGGACGAAACCTCATGGGTCTGCATTCACGCGACCAAACCTTGCGAACCTTTCTGAGCCACAACACTAACCACGCCGAAAATGAAGGCAATTGAAGAGCGCACGTGCTCAGCAGTGCAACGCCAGCTTCGACTGAGGCTCGGGTTTCAACCCGAATTCAGCCCCTGCCTGCGTGTCCAAGCAGTGCACATCATCGTAGGCTTTTCCTCATTCAGTGGCACTTTCATCAGAGACATGTTCAGGCGTGCAGTGCCCAGGGGGTTCCGCTGAGCCCGGCACCGTAATGATAGCCACCAAAGATCCACATTTTCCCGCTCGCGTCCAGGACAGCAGAGTGACTAGATCGGGAAGAGGGCTTGGTGCCAGTCACGGCCGGTGTGGTCCAAGCCGGCGGGTCTGCCTGGCCCACAGTCTGGGCTACACTCAGTCACTGCCTTGCAATTCCTGACTGAGCCAGTCGGAAAGCGGAGAGTCTACACTGACTCCGTCGAAAATGAAGGCAGTAGAAGAGTGCAGGTGCTCAGCAGTGCAATGCCAGCTTCGACTGAGGCTCGGATATCAACCCGAATTCAGCCCCTGCCTGCGTGTCCAAGCAGTGCACATCATCAAGGTAGGATCCTCATTCAGTGGCACTTTCATCAGAGACATGTTCAGGCGTACAGTGCCCAGGAGGTTCCGCTGAGCGCGGCGCCATGTAAGCCACCAAAGATCCACATTGTCCCGCTCGCGTCCAGGACAGCAGAGTGACCAAATCGGAAAGAGGGCTTGGAGCCAGTCACGGCCGGTGTGGTCCAAGCCGGCGGGTCTGCCTGGCCCACAGTCTGGGCTACACTCAGTCACTGCCTTGCAATTCCTGCCTGAGCCAGTCAGACAGCTGAGGGTCAAAACTGACTCCGTCGAAGATGAAGGTAGTAGAAGAGCGCACGTGCTCAGCAGTGCAACGCCAGCTTCGACTGAGGCTCGGATATCAACCCGAATTCAGCCCCTGCCTGCGTGTCCAAGCAGTGCACATCATCAAAGTCGGAGTGGGATCCTCATTCAGTGGCACGTTCATCAGAGACATGTTCAGGCGGACAGTGCCCATGAAGTTCGGCTGAGCGCGGCACCGTTTGTGCCAGCAAAGATCCACATCTTCCCGCTCACATCCAGGACAGCAGAGTGACCCTTTCGGGAAGAGGGCTTGGTGCCAGTCACGGCCGGTGTGGTCCAAGCCGGCGGGTCTGCCTGGCCCACAGTCTGGGCTACACTCAGTCACTGCCTTGCAATTCCTGCCTGCGCCAGTCAGACAGCTGAGGGTCAAAACTGACTCCGTCGAAAATGAAGGTAGTAGAAGAGTGCACGTGCTCAGCAGTGCAATGCCAGCTTCGACTGAGGCTCGGAGATCAACCCGAATTCAGCCCCTGCCTGCGTGTCCAAGCAGTGCACATCATCATAGAAGTTTACTCATTCAGTGGCACTTCCATCACAGACATGTTCAGGCGTACAGTGCCCATGAGGTTCCGCTGAGCGCGGCACCACCTGAGGTTTGGCCACCAAAGATCCACATTTTCCCGCTCACATCCAGGACAGCAGAGTGATAATATCGGGAAGGGGGCTTGGTGCCAGCCACGGCCGGTGTGGTCCAAGCCGGCGGGTCTGCCTGGCCCACAGTCTGGGCTACACTCAGTCACTGCCTTGCAATTCCTGCCTGAGCCAGTCAGACAGCTGAGGGTCAAAACTGACTCCGTCGAAGATGAAGGTAGTAGAAGAGCGCACGTGCTCAGCAGTGCAACGCCAGCTTCGACTGAGGCTCGGATATCAACCCGAATTCAGCCGCTGCCTGCGTGTCCAAGCAGTGCACATCATCAAGGTAGGATCGATATCCTCATTCAGCGGCACTGTCATCAGAGACATGTTCAGGCGTGCAGTGCCCAGGGGGTTCCGCTGAGCGCGGCACCAACAAAGCCACCAAAGATCCACATTTTCCCGCTCGCGTCCAGGACAGCAGAATGACCATATCGGAAAGAGGGCTTGGTGCCAGTCACGGCCGGTGTGGTCCAAGCCGGCGGGTCTGCCTGGCCCACAGTCTGGGCTACACTCACCCAGCGCTTCCAAGGGCCCAAATATGAGGAACCACCCCGGGGACCTTCTGAGGTCCTTGGGCATACCCCCCCCCAGTTCCCGGAACTAGTTCCTAAGGAAGTGCTTGAAGCATCGCAAAATAAGCAGACACATGTTGGAAGTAGCTGAATTCTATAAGAGTCGTCGCTGTGTTGCATGATTTGGCGTTGTCTGAGTAGCAGTAGTAGTAGTAGTAGTAGTAGTAGTACAGTAATAGTATAGCACTGGCAGAATGGTAGTGATAGTGGTAGTGACTGGTAGTGCTCGTAATAGTGGTAGCACGTAAGGTTCGTGGTAAAGGGAATGATCTTTGTTGTTGTTGTCCTCAGCTAGAGACCTGCACATCTGGGTCATACACCATTATAACACAAGCGAAAGTCGCACAGCTGGATCCTGGTGTGCTCGTTCGTAGATTTGGTGTAGAGTTGTATTTGCGGAGCGCGGCACAGCGCCGGATTTCACAAAAGACCGGGCGGTCCGGCTTGCGATCGGGACTTCGCAGGCCTGCGGGGAGGCCCAAGTCAGGCGTTTCGGTTCCAGGCCCCTTTTGTTCTTTTCGGTTCCTAGGCCCTGCTTTTGCAGCGTTGCGGCTGGAGGAAGGAGAGTGTTGCAGTTTTCTTCTCGAGCGTCGAGATCCGTAGGATCATCATGGAGGCAGCAAAACTCCTGTTGTAAAGGCTGGTGCATGGAAGCAGGCAGTAGCATCCATGCTGGAGAAGGCCAAAGCTCGAACCCAGCTGGTTCGGCCGTTCACAGGGCAGGGGACTGCGACACAGCCGAAGGCTACGAAGTCACTACAGAAGCTCCCAAACCAAATTCTCCAGTTCCAATGGTACCCACCCCCCACAGCCCAAGAAGTCAATAGCTGCCGCAAGAAGTCCACAGCTGCCACCGACACCCCGGCTGCCAAGGTTCAAGCACAGGTCACAGGCAAAGGTCAGCCTGCACAGGCAGGCAGCCCAGAGCCCAAGGCAAGCGTTCCAGCACGCCAAGCACCGTTTTTACCCGCCCTGAGCTTTGCGACAACGGAAGCCACAACCGCACAAACAGCCCCGCAAGCACCGTTCCCAAGTCCAAGCCTGGGCGCAGATAGATAGAAAGAGTAGAGCAAAATTATCATATGTGGTTCCTACTCCGGCGCTGGTTCCTGGATTGGGCTTGTTTGGGGCGGACAAGGCCCCAATCCAGTCCTTGGGCCTGGGGCCTAAATAGCAAGGCCTTGGGAAGCCCTGGGTCAGTCACTGCCTTGCAATTCCTGACTGAGCCAGTCAGACAGCTGAGGGTCAAAACTGACTCCGTCGAAGATGAAGGTAGTAGAAGAGTGCACGTGCTCAGCAGTGCAATGCCAGCTTCGACTGAGGCTCGGATATCAACCCGAATTCAGCCCCTGCCTGCGTGTCCAAGCAGTGCACATCATCAAGGTAGTATCCTCATTCAGTGGCACTTTCATCAGAGACATGTTCAGGCGTACAGTGCCCAGGAGGTTCCGCTGAGCGCGGCACCATGTAAGCCACCAAAGATCCACATTTTCCCGCTCGAGTCCAGGACAGCAGAGTGACGCCATCGGGAAGAGGGCTTGGTGCCAGTCACGACCGGTGTGGTCCAAACCGGCCGGTCTGCCTGTCGGGTCCCACAGTATCTGGCAGAGTCCCTGAAGCAGTGGCTGGCCTTGTAATTTCTGTGTGACCCATCATAAGCGTGTGAGTTGGAAACGGCTTAGCCATATTAGATTGCAGTTCACGAGAGTCGGACGGGCTGAATACCCTCATACGTAGCCTACGATGATGGAGACCAAGATCACAGGGCCAAAGGGACTGAGCACCCTTTTACTTCAGGCATCCCTCCAATGTTGCATCCTCTCAACGACATCTGGGGCAGTGCTCTTTTGTTCCCAGTCTAGGACATGGTGCCGAAACAAATCCCTGCTCATCTATGCGCGACCTCCAAGGCCGACGTCGACACCAACACCAGGCAAGTGAGCCTCAGCAAGTGCTGCAAACCTCTTACAAGATCACAAGACGTTGGCGCCTCGCTGGAAACTTGCATTCAGCTGGCTTCCACCACCATGCGCTTGCCATGCGCTAAAAAGCACATGTGTCAAAGAACATACCAGGAGAAATGAGTGACCTGGCACCACCTGGACTCTACTCAGCTGCAGGCCATGCTGATGATGGGCATTTAGCAGAAGCCATTTGGAAGGCGCCCGCTGGAGCCGAATGCAACATCTCCGCAAGCAGACCCAGACCACAAAGCCCCGCCAACCGCCCTCTGAAATTGCAATTTGCACTTCTTGCGAAATGCGCTTCACGGGCCAGAGATTCTGGCAAACCTAGACGTGCTCTGGCCTGAAACCATAGCAGATAGACCCCAATGAGGAACCAGATAATAGTCCTGTTGGAAGCAGTGTGAATGAAATGCAAAACCTAGGGTTTTCAGGTTTTGGAAGCGGTTTGGGTACATAAACCCCAAAACCTCAGTGCCAGTGTTTCGCTTCTCGCTCTCGCTGGCAAGGGCCAGTATTTAGGGCGAGGTTGGTTTTTTTTCCCACCCGCTTCGCTGACCAGGTCGCACTGCAAGGAAAACCATTTCCAGAACAAGAGCAACTGTGTGTGGTAAGTCCCGGGTCTTTTACACTCTCAGAAACGACGGACCGCATAGGTTTCAAGCCAAGATCGTGTAAAGCGCAGGACTCACGATAGACTGCTGCTTGGCGACTCTCCAAAACGAGCCTCAACAACCCCCTAGGTAGCCCCGGTTCAGAGAGAGCTCACCAAGCAACCAAGACTGTGTACAGCTAGCAAATCGAGGACAGCCCCAGCTTCTTACAAGCTTGAGGTATGGGAAGAAGACCACAACGGCGTCGCGCTACACTTACCGTCAACCTCCCAATTAAGCATTAAAAGGATCACTGCACAAAGGGATTAAGGACAACAAGAATGCAAGAACTGCGTAGGCAAATTACAAATTCTTCGGGGAATGAATTGAAGCAAGCCGATTCTATACCCTCACAGCGACACTCAGATGTCGCCCAACTCGCCAGTGAAGCTTTCAGGGTGGCGATGGTGGAAGCATGCACCGATGCTGCGCAGTGAGAGGCTCCACCGTGTCGCAGCGTCAAATGCAGTCTAATTATGCCTGCACCTACCAGAAATTAACCTAATCAATGCACCCCTGGAGGATTCTACCTTAAACCCTTTTTTAGAACCCAGACTCGCCTCGGACATCAGCTGGGACAGCACTCACGGACCCGCAGCTAAGGCCAATGTGACTGAGCAACCCAGGACCAGTTCAGGTGACTAGCCCCGCTAAACCCTAAACTCCGGTACTAGGAATCTATTTCAAGAAAGGGCAGGGCAAGAGAATCACTCCGGTACACTGCAATGGCTCCGAAAACTCCTAGGTCTTTGTTGAGCCACAAGCTGAAGGCTACAGGCTGCTGTTGCAGGCGTCTGCCTACGGGCCGCCATCTAAATCTGAGACTCGGCAAGACAGGGTTTAGGGTTCGGGGTTCAGGGTTTGCGGCTTAAGGGGAAGAATCGACTTCGCAGACCACTTGCAACGTCTGATGGTGCACCGACGAGCAATAGAAGTTGAGGCTGTTCTGTCCCTGAAGGCCTCTAGAAGCCTCCACTGCTAACATGAGAACCTGGAATTCTCAGAAGCTGCTACATTGCCTAGATCGAACCGAAAGCAGCTTGTAGTTCCGTGTGCCAAATACTGCCAACAATGCGCACCGGAACCAGTGGGAGGAGGCGGAAAGAAAATCAGCCCTAAACCCTAAGCCCTGAGGATCAAGCCACGGTCTGGGAAGCAGTAAAGCCACTTTGCGTCATTCAGTTCAAGCCTTTTTCAAAACCCGTAGCCCAAAAACACCTACCTTTTTAAGCTTCCTCATTATGGTTTTTTATATATGATTATAGGTTTTATGGGCTAACGGAAGGAATTGCAGAGATTGCCGATGCGATCTCAACCGGACCTGAAGGCTGGAGCAACCTTTCGGCTCAAACCTCTGGCGCGGCGGCGAATGCACACATACCAGCATTAGCTCTGCTAGAGCCTGACTGAATGACAGCTGCCAATACCTCAACAGGAAGCAACAGCAAAGTCAAACCGACAAAGCAGCTCCGAAACCACACATAAAATGGATGTGGAGGACTTGTTGTCGCTTCCGGCCTTATCACAACAGCAGAAATAAGCGTTCTACATCTCGTAGAAGTCACAGCAGTCGTCGTCGGAGCAGTAGCAGGAGCAGCAGAAGAAATACCAGAAGAAGTAGCCGTATCAGTCACACTAGTAGCGCTAAGTTGCAGTAGTAGCAGTAGCAGTAGTAACAGTAGTAGCAGCAGCAGCAGCAGCAGCAGCAGCAGCAGGAGTGGCAGTAGCAG